TTAACATGGTGCTGCATAAGTTATAACATTTTTTGCAACATCAGCACAGAATTATTAGCACAATTCTAAACAGAAAAGCCCATGTTGTTCATCCTGAAGTTTGCCAAAGCTCAGCCAGAAGCCTGAGGATATATATATATATATATATATATATATATATATATATGTACATATATATGTATATATATATATATGTATATATATATATATATAATGTATGTGTGTGTGCGTGCGTGCGTGCGTGCGGTGCGTGCGTGCGTGCGTGCGTGCGTGCGTGCGTGTGTGTGTGTGTGTGTATAATGCATACATATACATATAAATGAGCCAGGGCTTGACATTTGATTTCGCAACCTGCACAAGTCATGGGTGGAGTGCTCCAATGTCAATATAGTCTGAACTTAGTCAAATGAAAAATGGAACAGCTGAGTCACGAACTGAGTCAGATTCCACAATCTGTGAGCCAGTCCAGAGCTGGTTCAAGATATTCGAGTCAAACCCAAGTCTGATGCTAACCACATCTCAAGGCTAGTATTCCATTCCTTGCACTACCCAGATGACAATATCTTTCCCAATGCTATGTAGTCCAGGATATATCATATCATACCCAGCCGGTAGATAACACTTCTGTAATTTACGCGCGACTTTCTCCAGGCACATTTCCTAACCACCTCCACCATGCTCCCCACTGACACCAACCGACCGACCTTGCCGCGCGCTAGGAGCGAGTCGCATTTAAATGGGAACTGGGATACCGAAGTGGGGAAGGTTCTCTACTCCCATCGAAAGAAAACAAATTCACGCCGCCCACCTCCACGCATCCTCATTTCCTCTGGTCAGCATTGGGTTTCCGGGCTACTCTGTTTAGTATCTATATATCATAACCCCGCCACTTTTAATATAAATCGGTACTAAACACGCTTCCCCTCTTAGCAAGAATTCGTACTAAATATTCTCAAGGATGTGCCGGCTGACCAAACAGCGTACCAATCGTGTTGCTAAGCCACTACTATTAGGCTAAAACTAACAGAGCATGTGTAAGACCCATTGCCCTAAAACGGCCTGGAATGGATTGAATTCCTAAAATGGGAGACTTAAATGCACCCGTGAAGGTCTTTAGATAAGCTCAAGCCACCTCCACTTTTCCAAAAACCATTCTGTTGTGAATTATGAAAATCATGAAGCAGAATGCATCTCGTATCAAAAACAAAATAAATACATACTCTGCGCTGGTTCCAACTCGCCCCTTCGGCCTGACCCACGAAAAAATGCTCCTTTCCCGAGCTGAGAAACCCCGACCTCAACCCGCCCCTGACCAATCACCGAAACGTTTTATCCTCATTTCCCCGCCCTGAACACTCGGCACATTACGTGACATAATTCAACGAAATGATCCTGATTGCAATGTCATTGCAACTCATCATTTCCCACATGCTTTTATCTGCATGTCCATATTATACATTCCGCATTCCAACTTAGTTTGGTAAAATCTCACTAGTGCCTCCCGCATCAATATAGAAGGCGCCAATAAATAGACATCACTCACTTTTGCATTAATGCGTACTTTATTTGGTATGCTGAAACCGTCTGACGGTGTCAGGCGCTGGTCGTATCGCATCGGGTCTGGTATCCCCATCGCATCACTGATTTCTCGCCACCATGCTTTTCGTGCCAACGTGCACCGTCGGCCAGCATCCTTTCGTCGACATCAGCGGTTTAACGAACAAATGATGTCGTAAGAAGCCAATCAACTGGTGATTCACTTTGCTCAATGACAAGCTTGGTGCACTATTGATCTTCCGTGGATCTTTCACTGATACCAAACTCAAGTATACCATAAGCAGCTCCCACCATTAATTTCGGTAAATGTGCTAGAACACGACCTGAGACGACCAATCCCGCCCGTCATAGCTTTCCGGTATGGTTCACGGCGATATATGTGCTACGCCTGACACCGTGCTCTGTTTAGTAACAAAGATATATGTTGCGATCTAGTCGCGGTAAAGCTCACCTATGCGCACCACCACGTCCACTATAGGACCCCGCAAGCCACGCTCCAGTTGACAATATGAGAAACTGTTACCCAATGCATCAATTAGTGCGCAACCTTGGAACGGAAGCACACCGACCATTCTCACCGGTGTGAGAGGCAGGAGTGCTCTTCACTGATCCGACACAAGCTGCAAAATGCGGTATACAAGGCTGGCCTTTACCACGAAGGATTTTGAGCAAATGTAGCATGGCGGGTGTTCGTTATTGGAACTGTAAGCGTACATTTTCTGGCTTCGTCATCTCGCGCGCCACCCGTCCGGGACCGATGGGGCTTCGCACGCAGAGCGTGGGAAAGCAAGCCAGCCGGCCGTGGTCCAGAGCCTCCCGCCACGACCAAACCCGTCCATCAGGCCGGGAGATGAGGGTGGCCCGGCTCGACGCTTCAGCCGATCAGCTCACATCGTCAAAACAGCGCCAGTTGCTCCACCCGGAACGGCCAGGACGGCGGCCCCACCAGCCAAAATCGTTCATCGCGCCAAGAGAAGTGGAGGCGAGAGCCGGGTGGCCGGCGGCACAACATGCGCACAGGGATGTGCAAATAACATGTTATGAGGATGTTGCTGTTTCGCCCCAGTGATCCCCGCCGCGCCGCCGCCGTCCTCGCCCCAGATGCCATCAGAAGAGCCACGTCCCGTGGGAACTGGGCCAGAGGGGGACGCGCGGGGCCCGCCCGAGGCGAGGGCGGGTGGGCCTTGCACCGCCGCCGACGACGCTACGCCCGAGGTCTGGCTAAGGGGCGCGTTGGGGGCCTGACCCTGGAAGCGGCGCAGACCGGCTCGGCGACACATTGACCGTAGGGGGCGAGGCGGCAAACCCATTGGATCACGCGAGGAGACGAAGGCAGGCCGACCCAGTTAAGAGATGTCGAAAATCGGTAAAACATCGTGCAAGAGGCTCCGGAGTCAAGTGTGTCAGGGAGTGCGCCCGACGCCTACATCTGCATCCCGAGGCCGACCCTCCGAGGCCCCAGCTCACAGCACCCGGCTGCGACATTCGACACGACGGACGATGGTCACCGGTGACAGCGCACACGATGTGAGTGCCCAGGCGGTTGTCTCCCATCGCACCGGGCCATTGACGGCTGGCACCCCGAGCACGTCCTTTCACCCTTTCCCCACCGGGCGGCGCAAGCCACGTTTATCGGATCCCTCCCGTGGAGCTGGGAAATGGGGAGGGGATGGGTGTGTGTGTGTGTGTGGTGCCACGCGGCTCGGCACTGAGTCCGCGTGAAGCGACGGACTGGTGTACCGCTGTGTGTGAGCGGTTTTTCCGCGTTTTCCTTGTGTGTAAATACAGATGACGGTTTGCATCGCGGTGGTTTAGCGAGGGAGCGAGGCTGGACGAGGTTGGCCCGGGCGGCGAGAGGACACTCGGCCCGGCGTTGGGCGACGCTGTGTCCGGAGCCGTGGACGCACGCTTGGGCGTGACGGCCCGCTCCTTGGCCCGCACTGTAGCTGTCTGGAGTCTGCCGTTGGAGGTGGACATGTGGAGGCGCAGCGGCTCGTCTGGTCCCTCGCCTGGCCGTCGTCGCGGCCAGGCGTGGCGTACGGGCCGCGTCGCAACGTCCCTGGAGGTCTCCGGGGGCTGTAGCGATAGGATGTGGGCTAGTTGGATGGCTCGCCTTATCTTGTTCCCTGAATTTTTCCAGATAGCCCGAGGTGGCCGGACCCTCACGGGGTCCATCCAGCGCGCATGCTCGGCCTCTCACGAACACGCTTCCTTCTCCCCATTCGTTACTGATCGCTGACGCAGGTTGCGCTGGGCTCTCGTCGTCTGCCGAGGGCCTCCACCGTCCCATAGGGCGCGCTGTCTACCTTCAGGCCTCTGAGGCACGCGCCGTGGGGCGGTGCCTTGCAGAGCCTGCTCCAGCAGGCGGGAGGCGAGGGCGCAGAAGTGCCGGTGGCCACGCCTCCGTGCTGGACGGGGCGCTGCCTAAGGCACGTGCGCGGCAGCGGAAGGCTGCGAGCAGTGGCCGTGGCCGAGTAAATGGTGGGCCGCCCATCGTAGACGGAACGCGGGGAGGTCCAAACAGGGAGCCGTCACCCTGGAGGTCAGGCGAGGGAACGAGTCGCCGTCCAGCCTCGGACACCAGATGTCGGCCCAGCAGATGCGCCGGTGCCACGCTGGCAAGTTAGCGTGGTACCCTTTAAACAGGGCTTGAAGGTGGATTCATGGTAAGTTCGAAATGTGATAAATAAATTTCGCTTAACTCGACGAGCCAATTATAATGCCAAGGCGCAGGAAATAAAGGGGGGGAGGGGGGTCCACCCGTGTGCGACCCAATGATGAATGGGATGACGTGGGCGCTAGCGTATGTGGATGCTTGGAGTGAGTGTGGTGGGGCGCCGAGTGGAGTCTGCATGGATTAGTTAAGGCCGGGTGGGTGTCCCAGGGTTATTATCCAGCTGGCTGTTGCCAATATAAGTCGTCAATGCGTGGGACCCCTACCAGTTGGACGTATCATCATGCATGCGGTTCCGTTTTTGCCCCGTTTAAATATCGTAAGCTAAAGGGTGGAGGTGGGGTAACGTGGCTATGGGCGCACAACAATGGGCGGGGAGAATGCCGTTCGTGGTGCCTGACCGGACCCACCATCCAGCCAATGCGCTGGTCACCCACTGCATCCTAGCCCTGTGGGTCACATGAGTGTGAGTTGATGTCGGTTGTACCGGAGCCGCAACGTGCCGAGTCGTGCGCTAACATCATCTGGCTCGCATGCTGACCAATGGGCTCCTCATTATAAATTCGCTCTTTTGGGGGAGGCGCGACAGCGGCAGACGGCGGCGCACATCCAACGGCGGCCTGGCAGCCGCGCACGTCACTCACCGCAGACCCCCCCCCCCCCCCCCCCCCACGGAACACCCTTAGTTTGGAACACTTTCCCGATTGGGAAGAATTGTTCCTGTTCTCTGAGACCAACAACCAGCGCCAATTACGCCTCGCGAGTTCACCAGATATATATTTCACGAGCTGTATCCCATACGCATACCCTCCCACGTCGCATTCCACGTCGTTTACAATATGGCGGCAAATGATCTCGGTAGTGCACGCAAGCATTGGTGGATACCCTGTTCAGCAGTGACTACTGAACAGGGGCACCGGCCTGTCATCAGGTTCTGTGCAGGTACTTGCGGGGAAGCCACCGACATACAACACTGCGATACCAATCAAATATTGCCGCTCATGATAACAAGACAACCAGAAGTGACCGGCGACCACTAGAATCCCTAGCATGCGCGTGCTCCAACAATCAACCGGATAAACGTCTCTTCCTGCATAACATACTCCGGCATTTCATGACAGCCCCACACTGTATCGAACCTCACGGCCGGGTCGTTCGCTGGCCGGCGCCATGTGACCAACCGCAGCCAGCCTGGGTTGCTTCACGTGACCGGTGGGAAGCAGCGGCTGCTACACCCGTGAGCCGGTTCCGAACAGACCCCTCAACGCTCCCAGCAGGGCCGGGTTGCCGGCAACCTTGAGCTTGCCCTGGGCCAGGGCAGTGGAGGGCTCCAGTCGTCCGGAAAACAGCTCCACCAGGTGGGCGTCGTCAGCGGTCACGGTCACGACCGGAGCGGCGGCCGTGCCGCGGCTAACCCGGCCCGGCGCTGAGGTCAGGTCCAGCACTGTCCGCACAGACACGCCAATGTACAGACCGAGCCGGCCGGTCATAGCGGTCAGGTCCAGCGACAGTCAAAGACAGGCCGGTGCCAAACGGGCTACGGACCTCGGAAAATGGACCTCGGAAAATAAGTAGTTTTACGCAAACGCAAGTCGAATCCTTCAATTCGTGCAGTCAGTCACAATGCGGGAAGCCTTGTTCACACATAAACAGCGTTTACGGTTCTACTTGCGCAAAATATCTCCAATGCACTGTTTCCATAAAAAAACGCGTTTGAAGCGTTGGCACGCTCTGTGCCAGCACCACCAGTCATGCTGTTACGTTCGAGTGCGGCAAGCCGGCGCGCGGTCAGCGTACTGACCCCAGCCGGCGGCCGGCCGGCCGCGCTGCGTGACGTTGAACTGGACCAGGCCGCGCACCGAGTCGGCCAGGCCGGGTCGCTGCGCCACCAGCTGCTGCAGGCTGCTGAACACCGCGTCGCTGGCCAGCGGGCCGGCCGGCGCCGCGGCGGCTCCGGCGGCTCCAGCGGCAGGCTCCGTGGCGCGCAGCTCCACGTAACCCCCTGCGGCGGCGTGCCGGCCGGCGTCAACACACGGCCACGACCCAGGGACCGGCCTGGTGACGGCAGCGATGCAGTACGCCGTCCCTGGCCTGGACGACCTGTCACGACATCGACTAGTCGTGGCCATGACAGACGGCGTGCCCATTGTGGCAGGGTTCGTATCTAGGATGGCGAAGGAATCGTTACTTCGTTCTACAACCTAACGCTACCATGTATGAAGCGTTGTGTCTCTGTGAGATGGCCACGGCCTCCCCCAATGTTAAGCCGCCCCTTCAAACATACCTCCGGCTCAATGCTAAATGCATTGTGGAGGAACACAGTGTAAAGCGTGGGGCCCATCACATTTTCATGCAATGCTTCTTCCCAATGTTTTAATTTTAAACAATAAAATCCTCCCAATGTACTGGCATTCTTCTTTGTCAAATATTTGTGCCATAAAATGGCGCGGTTTTGCCTTCCATTATCGTTTGCACGGCAACACATATCCTTCAAGAGCAAAACGCCTATCTTATCGGTCTAGTAAGACTTAAAAAAAGCCCTTGGGACTCCACACTACGCTCAGTTTAAGTCTCGTCGTTATCTCGTCCCGACGGCGACGACGAACAAACAATACCCGGCACCGATAAGAATGTGAATGGCTCGTCATAGCATTGAGTACATGGTTTTCTGTTCATCCAGCCTACCCCTGAGGACAAGGCTGCATATGGCGGCGTGTGCGTCACCTGACACAGCCATTTTGTCAACATTCCACTGTCATAACATTTCAGCGGTCGAGCCGACCATCGCACGAGGAAGAGCGACACAAGCGTGGCGGAATCCAGCGCGGCCGGCGGCGCGCGGCACACTCACCCGACAAGGCCACCCGGCCCGTCTCCTTGACGCGCGTCTGGAAGACAATCCGGTCGGCGCCCGGCTCGCGCCACGTGTCCACCAGCAGGGTCTGGCCTGGCAGCACGGGACGGGCGAAGCGCGCCTGCCGCCACACAGCCGGCGTCAGCCATACAGCATCAGACACACAGACACCGTCCCTACTCTCGGACTCGGCACGTCCGACAGCCGAGCCATACGCGGCCCAGTGCCAGAGCTCGGCCACACGCGGCCCAGTGCCAGAGCCCGGCCACACGCGGCCCAGTGCCAGAGCCCGGCCACACGCGGTCCGGTGCCAGAGCCCGGCTACACGCGGTCCGGTGCCAGAGCCCAGCCATACGCGGCTCGGCGCCAGAGCCCAGCCACACGCGGTCCGGTGCCAGAGCCCGGCCATACGCGGTCCGGTGCCAGAGCCCGGCCACACGCGGTCCGGTGCCAGAGCCCAGCCACACGCGGCCCGGTGCCAGAGCCCGGCCATACGCGGTCCGGTGCCAGAGCCCGGCCATACGCGGTCCGGTGCCAGAGCCCAGCCACACGCGGTCCGGTGTCAGAGCCCGGCCACAATCTAAGGACAGGGCGCTTCACCACTCGACGATGTCACTAACTGCTCACCATCGGGCGTGCTGGTCACAACAGCACTGACCTTGACCTTGACGAGAGCCTCGGGCTGATCCGACGCGTACCGGGCCAGTATGGCGTGCACCGAGACGCCCAGACCGCACAGGCCGTGCAGAATCGGCCGTTCCTGGCCGCCCAGTGCTGCGAAGTCCGGGTCAATGTGCAGCGGGTTCCGGTCGCCGCAGAGCCGGTACAGAGCTGCCTGAGGCAATGCACGCCGGCGGGGTCACACCACCACCACGGTCAGGTCAGGTCACATCACAGCCCGGGTCAGCGTGACGGGGCTAAATGTCATTGCAGCGCCGGCTCAGAGTCCCACGGAACACCACTCACCCCCGATAAAGCCGCGGAGCCGGCACCGAGGCGCTTGTGACAGGCGACGCCGGAGCGACTGGAGGACTGGTGCGAATACGACAATCCGCATGAACAAAGAAACTAAACCATTCTACCAGCGCCAATGCGTTTAGCAGCAGGGCAATGTCAGCCTGCACGCCTACAGCAGGTGACCTCCGGCCACCACCTGGCGCGTGGAGACGGATCCCTAAGGTGCTGCCACCCAGTCCGTCCGCCCGGTGTCACCTGGTCCGTGCAGGTGCTGTACGGCAGCGTGGCGTCGGGCGCCCGGTCCGGGACGATGGCGCACGCGGTGGTGTGCTCCGACCTGGCGTGGCCGCCGAAGCCGCCGGCGCCGCGCAGGAAGATGGTCACCTGGACGTAGGCCACCTCGTCGCCGACCTCGTCCGAGGCCCGCACTGGCGGTGCAGGCAGACGGGGACGTCCGTGAAGGCGCGCCGAGGCGGACCAGATCCCAACACCAGACCACATCGGCATCTGCCACACACACACCTGCGTACGGCCGTCGCACCGTCTGTTCTAAGCGAAGCGCCCTGGCGTCTGGCTTCGGCCTACATGCCAGCTGGCGTTGGTGCCCGACGGCACGTCAGGCACAGGCATACACTGAATGGAATGCGTCTGACGCACGTACCGTCCAGCAGCACCAACGCGCCCTTGTCGCCCTTGTCGATAATGTCCGAGATCTTGAAGTCTACGTCCAGAGTGGCGGAGGACGGCAACGGCTTCTTCAATTCCATGTACTGCTCTCCATGAAGAAGCTGGGAACATGTGGAAGTCATAGCCTGAAATGTGTCCTTATTAAGGCACTCGGAGTGTTACGTTATCTTCTCCTTGCACACGAGCGTAAAATTACAAAATCTCGGATTTCTGGAGCGCAACCGAATCGTAGCGAGGGAAGAAAACTTTGGACAGCGCAAAGCAACGCTCACGTATGGTTGCCAAAAAGTGATAAAATATTTTCCCCCCCAAAATTCTAACCGATCGCTTCCTGTCCTGACAGCCGAAACATCCGTTTTTGTTTCGCACCTTCAGTTCATTAATGGACCAAACGGACGTCAACCTTTTGTGACGTTCCGCTTATCATGAGATCACCGGGACGAGGGGTGAAAGGGGCAATATGCATACCGTAAATTACGGACAGCCGCTAAGGCTAGGATCGGGTGGGTTTAAAGCTTTTCATCAAGAGTCCCACGAGATTGGAAAAATGCGGTACAAGTGACAGAAACATGTCATTAGAGGCCATGCACATCCCTGTTCACTTCTACGAGAGGTAAACAAGACACCTCCGTGATTTGCGAAGAAATAATAACTAATAAGTTAAAACCGCTACTGAGTGCAACCTTCAGCGACTGAATCACTGTTCAGCATGCACCTACAGGAAACGGCAGTGCTTACTGTTCCAGCACACGTGACCACGTCCCGAGCCGGCCGTTCCAGCGGCGCCTCGACCGCCGGGCGCGGCCGCCTCACCTGAGACAGGTCCATCGGGAAGCCGGGCAGCGAAGCGAGCCGCGTGAAGTCCACGGCGTTGACGAACAGCGCCGGGAACATGGGATGCACGGCGTAGCTGTCGTGCGCCTCGTACAGGTAGCGCAGACCGTGCGGCTCGGACAGGGAGACGCCGATGCTCAGTGCGTACAGGATGGCGTCGCGCGGCTGGTACTGGTAGCGCGCCGGCGGCAGACGCGTCCGCAGCGCACGCGCCACGTCAACGCCGGCCGGCGCGGCGGCCTCCTCGCGGCGGCGGCGCTCCTCGTCGGCCGCCTCCTGCAGCAGCTGGCCGAGCAGCGCCATCTGCTCGGCGGGCGAGGCTGGCAGCAGCGGCGCCGCGTGGTCCTCCACCAGCGGCCACTGGTCGCGCACCAGCTCGGGCGTGAGCGCAGCCGGCGTGACGGCCAGACCGCGGCTGCGCTGCCAGCGGTAGGTGGCCACGGCGCCGCCGGCCGCCTCCACCACGGCGCCGCTGGCCGGGCAGTCCGCGTGGCAGAGCAGCGCCACCACCGGCGCCACCAGGGCCGGCCGCAGCAGCCGCTGGAACTCGGCCGGGAACACCGACTCGGTGAGGCGCGAGGCTGCCGCCGGCACCAGCACGTTCGTAACGATGTTGTGCTTCTGGCCCTCGACGGCCAACGTCTGGCCCAGACCGACCAGGCCCATCTTAGCGGCGCTGGAAGTGGAGAGGGCAAGAGTCTCAGCAGCGCGGTCAACAGGCGGCGCTGAGGCCGACGAGCGTAGCTGCGGCCACCACGGCTCGCGGGCACCCATGCCAATACACGATGAACCGCCTCGTAGACACCAGCTAGGACGGACATTAAAGGGAGTATGCAACCTTTTTGCACTTTCCGCTTATTGCTAAACCAGACGCATACGATGTCCTCAGGAATACCAGCTTTCATGCAATCTTTCTGAATATCTCAGAATCTGTCGTTGAAGTAGCCACTCCTGAGGGGAAACCTCATTGGACTCCCTAAACACCACTATGAAGGTAATGCACGTAATTTGTGTCGGTTTTCCTTACATGTTTGTTCTGTAATGTTCGCAACACGCTAATTGGTCAAAATGTTCGTGTAACAAACGCTACGCAAGCATGGAACACTGTTTAGACGAAGTATATACAAACATGAAGCTAATATCCAACGAATTCAATAAAATGTTCAACGATGGCTTTAATTTCTCCCCATATGGCATTTACTGCGGTGGCTCTTTTCGAAACGCAGTTTGGCTTTGGGAAAGGAGTACCACATGGTCTAGAATGACGAGCTGGTTCACACTTCGATAAATGCGCTCCTCGGTAACTGGCCCTGGCCTGCTGGGCTCACCACGAGCGTTCTTTTATTCGCGCCCGAAGACAAGCGCACGTTCGCTGTTATGACAACGTTGACCGTGACTGCAGGGAAGAAGCGCAGTGCTGTTACAAATCGTTGTCGGCGTAATTTGGACTAAGAAGTAATCAAAAGTAATATTCTTATCATGTCTTGACAGTGCTACAGTGGCACTACCCAGGGCTATTGGAGGATCTAACTAATCCTGAGGTGTAACTACAGCATGTTTTTAAATATATCCCAAAGGTGGGACGCTCCCTTTATAGGAGTAGTCGGCAAAGAGAAATATCGATAATCACGACCATCACCATTCATCGGTAATAACCGTCGTTGTCAGCCATCAGCTATACTACTATACTATACATTGACCACCAGCTATATTTGAACAGTCGAGGGCTAACAAGCGAGACAAAGGTGCAAAAACAAGCACTTCAGCGCATCCCATCGCGTAATCCAGGACGTACCCACAGCGGCAAGGCGTGTTCGACAAATTCACGCAACCTCCCCCGCTGTGGCCTATCAGAGAGCTGGCGCGCCGTCGTCGTACTTGGTCGCACTCACCTGTAGTTGGCTTGGCCGAAGTTGCCGAACAGGCCGGCGGCGGACGAGGTGAGCACGATGCGACCGTACTTCTGCCGCCGGAAGTGGGGCCACGCTGCCCGCGTGGTAATGAACGCGCCCCGCAAGTGCACGCGGTGGATCAGGTCTGCCGGCGCCGCCCATCCACGACGCTCAGACGGCAGGCACGTACACGTACGTGGGAGAGCTGAATTGTTGAATGTATTGTGATGGTAAATGAAATGTAATGTTCGCCATTGTAATAAATACTTACCCTGAAAAATACTACAGACTGTGAGGGGAAAGGCGTCTCTCCCTCCCCCCCCCCCCCCCCCCCGCCCTCCCTGCTATCTCAGAACAGAACAACGATCTCAAGACAGTACAGAGCCCACAGGACAAATGAAATGTTAGATAGTTTAGATAGATCTGGACAACTTTCGGTCGAACTACTCCCTTGTGCGACGTTCAGGTCATGATCAGCACTGGCCATTTCATATTTTTTCCTCTAATTTATACACAAACGATCCTCAGATCGCTGTGCCCCGTGGTACCCTGTTAAGGTACACATGGCGGCATAAGCGAAAAAGAATATGACAAATACCTGCTCCTGTCACATACGCTGGATCGGCGAGACAGAGCAATGAAATACAATGTTTAGTAGGCCTTCAGCGCAAGAAAACAATTTATCATAAACGTTCGCAGCTAGCACGTGAAGCACCTCACCCCAGTCGATATCCTCCATCTTCATGAAGCTCCTGTCGCGTAGAAAACCAGCATTGTTAATGAGGATGTCAATCCTACCGAACTCCTTGATGGCCGTCTCTATGATCTTGTGGCCTTCTTCAACCGAATCATAATTGGCCGCCGCCTTGCCTCCTGTTGACAACACCGATCACACTGATCCAAAGAACAGGATGTCCCAGCTAAGCTTTTTGAACTTTCCTCCACATGACAGCAGTACCAACAGACCATACAGGGCAATTTGTCCCATCGAACCCCTTCACCGGCATCCTTACCGAGCTGCACACACGGCAAGCACCGCACACAGATTTTACTGCATACACAGCTCTTCCTATTTCTAGTAGTAATGAGACTTACACCAGCAAATAATCTATGAATATTCCCTGTGCTCCCCACCTGCCCACACACACTCATCATGGCCAGCACATCCCCAGGCAGCAAACTCCAGCCGGCGTGCCTGCCCGCTGTCCGGAGATGGACGTGACGGACGCTCACCCTTGTCGCGGATCTCCTGCACCACGCTGTCGGCCGTCTTGGAGCTCTGGCCCTGACCGTCGCGGCTGGAGCCCAGGTCATTGACCACGACGGCGGCACCGCGCTCTCCCAGCAGCAGGGCATACTCGCGGCCAAGACCTGAAGCACATGGAACATAATCATGCCATGTTTAGGCTCACAGACAGCACTCACTGCCAGCTCATTACTACCCAGCAATCGGCAGCTGACAGCAAAAAAAAAAACTGTTGACAGGCTAGGAATAAGCTCAATGTTCAGTTCAACTTCCAGCTTGCTGTCACTGCAAACTATGCTGACCTGTCATAAGGGTGAGCATGCAAGCATGCATGACTGTGAAAAACATGCCTGTCACCTGCCTGATGTGGTGATGTGATTCATACAGTTCAGTGGAAGAGCATGACTGCCATTAGACGAAAAAGGCAAGGACATGCACATGATTAGTAAAAAGAGGAAAAAGTCCCGCTGAACCCAACCAACTGTCTATCATGCCTCAAGTTCTCAATGTTATAGCATGCTGCTAAGAAAAGTCGTTCAACTAACCCAAATTCTCCAAACCATTAAAAATGCTACCATGGGTTAGCTTTACTATATGCATGGTGCTTCATTTGAAACAAAAACTTTAAGAAGGTTGTTATATCAATAAAGACATTCAATAATATGCTTCTTTGCATTACCAATATTCAGTATAACCAACATTCCAATATTATATATATATATATATATATATATATATATATATATATATATATATATATATATATATTATATATTCCAATTTACACCAATATTCAATATAAAACAGAGTTCATCTGACAAGCAACATACCTCTACAACTGTCCCTGAACATGAACATAATTCCCCTAGTTACAGAATAACCCAATCCTGCTGATCAGCAGCTGACACATGCAAAAAGCATATTCAGATGCCGAGCATAGGGAAGGAAGGTCTGCGTCTCAACTACCAGAATGCAGTCATTGTATGAAAGACACCTATACTTATGCTCCATAATTTTCAATATTAATTACAGGATAGAATGTGCTTACACCATTTTTAATATACTTGCTTGTGCTTTGAAAATTGACAATCAACATGACACAACCTGTGGTTATGCTACAGAGTACGCTATTAATCAACACTTGACATTAAGGTGAAACACCTTGTAGTTATGTCGATGCCATTAGTTAACACCACATAGATAAGCTATGTCAGTAGCATCAACAGGTAACTGATTCCTGATGTCACAACAAAATGGAAGCATGAGAAAAGCAAATGACAAGATGCAAGGGTGAGACAAGCCATAAGCCCTCAGAACATGGGGTGGCTTGGCAATGCAATGACAGCACAAGAAAAGGAAATATGATTTATTACATATGCTGAAGAATTTCTCACAAAAACATTGAAAACATGACATGCATGGTCATTAGCCCTCACATGCAGCAGGCACCTCATTCCAACATTTTGAGGTGTGCAGCCATGTAGGTTGCACACCTCAGATAGGCAGCCCTGCACTATGATCAGCACTTAATTGAAGCTGCTCACCTCCTCCTGCCCCTGTGACTACTGCCACCTGTCCATCGAATCGCAGCTGATCAGGCATACTGTTCTGGGGAAGACGGGAACAAAGGTGCATAAGAAAGTCTACACACCATATGCCTAGACGTCAGGTCTGCAGCATTATTCCCGCGGCACAAACATCCTGGGTTACACCAATGAAGGACAAGAACAAAGTTATGTTTGGAGGAAACACAAATGGCGCCGGAGGCACGACACATTATAAACCACCAGAAAGGTAGGTAGGTGCCTGGTTGGTGATGCACGAACAGGACCTAGCGGATTTTGATGGCAATGGGCTGCATGAACACCAAGGCTATTAGAGAGTAGTAGTAACACGCTAATTTCGTACCCGCTCCGCCAATGGACGGAAGAGCACACTGTCTACAAGGATTGTGTACTGCGAACACGTCCTCGAGCCTAGTTAGTACGGATTCTTACAAAGAGGGGAACCGTGTTTAGTACCGATTCGTGCAAAAACTGGCGGAGTTTAGCACGCATAGATACTAAATAACGCAGTCCGGTAACCCAGGGCTCAACAGCAGAAATGAGGCTATTTTAGAGGTGAACCTCGTGAATGTCTTTTCATTCTATGGGAGTGGAAACCCTTCACCATTTTGGCACCCCAATTCTCATTTGATTGCGAGTTGCTTCAAGGACACAGTCGGCCTATCGTTGGTCAGTGGGGAGCGTGGGCAAGGGGCAGGGAAACGCGCCCAGAGTAGCACCTGTATGTAATTTACAAAGCAGCATTTTCTACTGGATGAGTGGGATGTTGATATATCCTGGACTACAGACCTTGGGGTGTATCGTTTTGCAGATAGTGCGGATGATGGAATATGGTTCTCGGGCTGTAGTGGTTTGCCTTAGACCAAAATAGCCCTCGTCGCCCGGTACACGAATGCTTAGTGTTAAACTGCAGGTCCATTTGCGGATCAGGTAGAGCCGTGATGACCATGCGCTGCATGAGACGCAGAGTGAGAGCTGTGTACACCAGAAACGAGGCTGCTATCGCATTGACAGGCAGTGGGGTCCGTCGAGAGACATGGTTGGATCAGGTGCGCTTGGCACGAACGCCTCAGACCAGCCACTTAAATAAAGGAAAGTGGGGTGCGGCTGAAGCCCTGAAATGGGCTCAGAAGGGAAGAGGTTGCCAAAGATCACAGTGCGTGACAGTGGGGGGAGGAATGGCTGAAAACGGCCGTAAATGCGCAACGTAAGTTGTGGGCGGCCCGGGAACACCTACAAATCATATGACCCGGTGAACACACCGTCGCTGACCTGGATGAATGAGCATGAGTGTGGTGCTGGACGCTAGTGCCGTCGTGTGTGGGACAGCTGCCAGACCAACTGGGGACGGGACGCAAGACGGCGTACCGGCGGCCATAAACCAATCAAAGCGAACCGGCCGGGCGGCGTATCGGAGACAATTAACCCTGCCACCGGCTAAGGTCGGCAGTGAGGAGTGGGCTAACTTGCGGTGTAGCGCACGAACTGGAGAGCTGCTGGGAATTCATAGGTTTAATGGATGGAGGGTGTCTGATGGTTGCATTGAAACGCTGACTGTTAACAGAGGGTGGTCACGCATCAGCTCATAAATGTAAACAATGTGTCGACTGGTTCGTTTTGGGCAGATGCGAACTGAACTTAACGTGCGTCGAACAAAATAGGTTGAGTTTGCGAAACTTTTAGGTATACATAATTAAATCCTCGCCCGGCATGTTGGGTGCTCCGGTCTTTCTAATGGGTGCCTTCTCTTGGGTTTGCGGGGGCTCCTGTGTTTGTAATGGGGGGAAGGGTGGATCATTTTGGACCTCCTGTCGACCAATAGGGCGTGATGTTGACTATCTTGAGCCTCTTATAGGTCAGATGTTTTCTCCCACATGCCTTAAGCCTCGCCCTGGTAGGAGGGCGGGGAGGGGGAATCATAAAACCCCCTAAGGTCTCTGAGGATGCCTCTCCGGTATGTTTCGCGATGGCGTCCAAGTTTTCAGTAACCTGTGAGGCATCCATTCGTATGTTTTACCACCAAAATCGTGTTCCTAGCTTTCTGGTTTCGGAGCAGTGGCGGTTTTGGGGAAAAACTGCACGGCGATATACCACTGACACGTGCGACGGGCAGCAACCAACGATGCCGTGTAAAGCGCGCGGCGGACCGACATTGCCACATTGGCGTAGCAATATGCCATAACTGTATGCTTAACACACAAAAATACACCACTGTGCTGAAAAGGGAACAAGAAACACGTCTGTTTAAATTTTGTGGCGCTGCAAAGAACTTCATTGTATGTATAATGCTGCAAAGCTGAAAAGGTGTAATTTTCTGGAAAGTATGACCTTGGACCGGCCATAATGGGCTCAATTGTTAAACCAACAGCTTAACAACTGGTACCAGTCGCGAGATGCCATTGAGACCAAACCAATGGTGTTTTCTGCCAACTCTGATTGCAAATGCGAGGGAGTTCGCATACCTCGCCCATCAGTCCGCGTTAGGAAAACGATGAATCAGGGCGAGGATTACGGGCCATTCTATTGATTCGATGAAAAACCATACAAGATTCGAGAACAACGGGAACACGCGCATGGTCCGCCGATGACGTCGGCAACGATCCTCTCGTATTAGGCTCACTTGCCGAGGGCATATTTTCAGCGAAGTCCCTCCAGTACCCGAGGCCGTATTGCTAGCAGAACACATTTCACACATGAAGTTCAAGACCCTGAACAAACCGGCTGTCCGAAGAAGCGTTAATCGTGTAAAATCTCCCGTGCCAGGAATGCATGGAAACAACCGCAGTACCAGCAGCTGTCTATCGCAGAAGAGTAGAATAATGCGCGCTGATAGTGTCACTAGCGATAATACGCTTTCACGTTAACCAGCGCTGGATGCTACAACTACAGCCGAGCGGCAGATGATCTTCTGTTAAGGAACCATCCTGGCCGATTGTAATTATTGATGGTGACCCATGGTAAGGTTTGAGGCTCAGCCCTGGTAGAATTTAGTCCGGCGGCATTTCAAAGCATCTCACTCCTCTTGCCAGACCAAATGGGGTGGGTGATAACCACCTTGGTTATGACTGCCCTCCCCATCCCTTCATTGCGCCAGGCGGAGGAGCTGCGCAGGCCGCCGCGCCTGGAACGGTCGCGTCGGTTCCCGTGCGATGGCCAAACGCTATGAACGGCATGACATGCGTGAGCGGCATGCATGCGGGCAGCATGCACTAGGAATCTTTCTGAGGTTAAAGTTTTGTTGTTACCCGGTCAGCTCCTGTCGAATCGAAGCACAAAGACCTCACATTCGACTCTTTTGTAAATTGGAGACCGATTCGCAACAAATTTTGCGCAAAAGCGGTCATTGGCTCTTTAAGAATTGATTAATTTTGCTAGCTTAAATATTCAAGGTGATATTTAGCAATCGTGCGAGAGGATGAACATATCTGAGGTGTTCATAATGCAGTTGAGCATCGAACGTTTGAGAAGATAAACACATCATGCGTTCATATTCGTACCACTACATCTCGGCATACTACCATTACATCTCAGCTTGTAGTGCTTCAATTTGATTCGGTATCTGTTGGTTTCCTTTGATTGCAAATAAATTGGGAATACAACTTCCGGAGATTAGAAGTTAAATAATGGTGTCCTCTCATAGAGAGCACGTCAAGCAAAGGCAAAAAGTATGATAACACTTTCCAATTTTGTAAAGAAAAGTTACGGAGCTATTTAAAGCACGCTACAAGATTCGTGTGTTGGGTTGTGTTTTACGTCAGAGCCAACGACTGCAATATTGCCGAGATGCGCTGATAAAAATCAATTGATCGGTGGTAGTCCCATATACCTAACATTGGCTTTGCTTTTGGAAACCTAAATTTCTGTGATGGTTTGCTGAATTTTGGAGCTAATACAAAATTTCGTCTATGGCTGTAAAGGTCGGCGCAAGTTCTTTATTCCCTACGAGCTATCTGTGGGTGCCGAAAGTGCATTTGTACACGCATCTGGTGAACTCCTGTGCTTCTGGGGAAACCAGAGGTACGGGGTTCGAGTCCCTGCGGTGCCCGCCCTTCCTGCCAGGGTCAGAGGCACGTGACGCCATATAGCCTCAGCAGCTAAGTGAATGGTAGAGCAGCAGTGACGACGACAACGACCTGTAACCTATCTTAATGTACATACAGGTGTGATGGTTTTGTTTCCAGTTGAAGTCATAACTGTACCATTTCTGATAAACTTTTACACAACCCTAACTTTACTATCCAGCTTTCATCAACGTTCAACTTTTTCAGCCTATGGATCAATACGTTGAGAAAGAAACGGCAATTGGCAAACAGTGCTGAACAGGGCCTCCAAATATGCGTTAAGTGCGTGTCGACAAGTAGCAAGCAAAGCAAATTTTAAAGTTGCTTGCCTTTTTTGGTATAGTTCCTTGCAATGTTGATTGTTGGCTTACTCGATTTTGAAACAAGATAACCACTTGGTTCATCGTACCTAATAGGTGCGAGCAATATCTATGCTAGGTAAGAAACAGCAAAAGGTTAAATCGGACCACTTAATAATGTCGAACTGAAGGCAAGGAGATAATCCTTTCAGATTTCATTTTCCTGAAATGTGCGACTAAAAAGAAGCATACGTCCGAATCCCATACACTTTTTAGATGTTAAACGCTTCAGATGAAATGTTTGGAATACGTGTTTCTGTAATCAGATGGTTGGTTTTAAAACATTTAAAGCTTCCAACAGTATAGAGGAGAAAATGAAAACTGAAATTTCCCCCCGTAGGGTGGCAATTTTTCCAATTTTGGCTACGTTCATTTTCGCGCGTGAATGTCTAGAATTGACCCGTTTGTGGTACCGTGCTAATTCGACCCAGCCTAGCTTGAAACGTCGACTTATAATTAATTTTCACAACCGACTTCCTGCAGCCTGTCAAAATTTAGGCAAATAATTTACAGCAAGTGGAATTCAACGCATTTCTAAAGCTGCATGTTACATCTTGATATCAAATGACAAGGTATTATTAAGCTCATAACTCGGCTTCCTTACAAGAAAGAATGACGCAAATGGTTTCAATCAAAGGACGATGCAAAGCGCTATCTTTTGTGGGAAACATGACTAGAAGTGTTGGATGACACGCTTTATAATATTAAAACAACATATAAACGCGTTAAAGATACCTCCAAGAGCTCTGACTAATGTCAGAGTGCGAAATCTATCACAACAAGGAATGCGAGTGTATTATCGTGCTTTACGTCTTGTCACAAAATGCCATGTCCC